AGTCATATTAACCAAATTTTTCAAACATTTTCATATTTATATGAAAAGAAATATTGATCTAAGTGAGTATTATAATTCGGAATACACTGAAACCGAGTCATCTAGCTCTGAGACTGAATCAGAGGATGAAGATGTCTATAGTAATAATGCGCCTCTCCGATAATATGTATCGCTGGCTACGTCCCGACTTTGTATTTATTTTTGCATGTATTAATAAAAAAATTTTCTTGGTGAATAAAATTCACAGAAATCATGTGATTTTTTTAATCTGTTTTATTGATTGGAGGTCATTCTTAGGCTGTGCCATCATTCATACAGATAAAATTATATTACGTAATTTAAGTTGTAAGCGTAGATCTGGAATTATATTAGGCTTTACAATTATATTTAAAATACAAGCATGATTACGTCTCTGTTGGTTTGTGTACAATAAAGTAAAAAGCGACCACACAATGCTTTCCATCATCTAAAAACATAGCTGAATATTCAAGCAACTACTTAATGACGAGCTTTCATCCTTATTGGTGATGTCCAGGTATTGTCATCATCCAAATAATAGTCGGCCTCTTTCGTTAACAATGTTTGGTATCTTTTATGTAGATTTTGAATGAAAGGCTACAAATAGAGGTCAACTGTTAGAATAATATACCGACACTTCATAGATATAATAGAAAGATAATACGCGCAATGACAGCATTTTGGCGGCAACCTTTGTCATTTTCGGAAATGTCGTTATCTCTTCCGCTATCTCGAAGTCCATAATTGAAAAAACTACCGGTCGCATGTTTGCTAACCAGATTGCTAAATATACTTCAACACTTGCTCCTATGACATTAACAAAATAAAATCCGCATTAAATAAATGGAATTGTAATTAGCAAATTGCTACGATTACTATAATTAATAAAACTAAACTAACTTACCGCTGAATTGCACGCAAAGAATGGGCATGGATGAAATCTCGTGTAGTAATTTTTCCGGTAATGTTGATACCATATGTTTAAACATAAGGATAATAGCATTGTGTAGCTTCGATAAATCTTTATCCGACTTTGAAAGTATGGAAGTTGTTGCCGTCTCTACGTATATGAACTCAAACTGTCTGCTAAAAGATAAAATCCCGTCATACTTTTTCTTTTTTCTTGATTTTTTATCAAGAAGCTTTTGCACAAAGCTTTCCACTTCACCTCTATTAAGCAAAACAATGGACATATTTATCAGTTAAGGGCATAATATAACATTAGCATAAACACAAATTCTAAATACCGTCGGAGAATACATTCA